AACTGAAATTCATTATACAGAACATCATAGCTTTAACTTGGTTTTATTAGTTTTCCTGCTGTCATCACTCTTGATGATAATAATTTATATTTAAATACATTCTATCACTGACTGCCCTAAACATGCCACAAAGAACAATGAAGATGTCCTCCTGATTTAGGAAGGAATCTTTCCAGTTTTTGACCCACACTTCATTAGAAGAATTGAATCCATATAGCTGGCCTTCTTCCACTAGCTTGCAGAAATAAGTAAGTAGGATCTCTAAAGAAAGAGGGACTGTAAAAGGAATCTATATGCATTTTTTTGCAGACAAATATTGAGTAAAACTGAGACTCAAGCTAACAGAAATGAAGAAAAATACATGGGTATATGACTTCGGCAGCCAACTGGCATAGCCAATTAAATAAATAAGAGATCATTAAAGACTCATGAAAACTGTAGTTTTTGGCAGAAGTTCCACTTCTCACAGAACATACAACATGACATTTTAACTAAAGAATGTGATCAGAAAACTCAACTTCCAAAAAGGACCAAAATCTCCCTCTGCTGGGAAGATGAAATCTGCAACTACTAAAAAAAATTCACATTTGAAGGTTGAAGAGAACTGTGATTTAGTAATGCCTTAATTAACGTAATTATAGTTGAGCTAGAATTTTGGCTCCATATATTTAGAAAAGTTTTCTCCTCTTTTGTCAGCTACTTACCAATGACGTAAGTCAAAACATAGCTTAAAAAAGGGGGAAAGCAAACAAATTAATTATTAAAATTACTGAAATGATACAATGGAAAGAGAAACTGCTAAGGTAATAGAAATGTAGTAATGCTCAAATTTAAACATCTAACTACTTTTTATACAGCACATTCATATATACATGGCATACTATTTTCTGTAAAGGAAGAAACATCTTTCATGCTACTGTTGATCATCCACCATTCTATCCACTTTAGACACATCTCCACTTTACACTCACTTTTTAACACAGAATAAATAATTCTTCTCGTAAAGTAAGATATACAGAACATTAAGGCAGATTTTCTATTTAATTATATGACTACAGCTTTCTGTAAGGGATTTCTATGCAGTAAGAGTTGGACAACTGAATGGTAAATAACCAGAAGAGGTTTTTCTTTTACTTTAGGAAAAAACGATAGATGAGAATATCTTTAATTATATTCAAATCTTAATTACCTGAAGTACTCTTGGTGAAATCACTACGACGCTATGCATATTTCATAGAAATAATGAAAAAAAGGGCCTCAGTATCTGGTAAACTTGTTTCTATTCAACTGTGAGAGATGTGAAAAAAACACCATTTCTTTTACATGTGCATTTTTGACGGGTTTTTCACTTCTTTTCTGAGCACTTTTTTTCTAGGAGAAGACATGGATGACAGAAGGTGAAATAAAATTGACAGAAGCCCCAAACCCAAAAACTACTGATGTCAGTGCTGATTTCAGCTTACATTTTGAAGGAACTTATTGGCCCTGGTGCCCACCTCCTATCAGAAGTGAGTTGTGAGCTGCCCAGAATGCCCATGACTCAGCTTTTGAGATTCACTGGATCTGAACAAACATTTGAAAAATATCATTAGTATTTGGTGGGACATTTAGATATGGAGGCCAGCAAGACTATGAGCATAGTCACAATTTAATGCCAATTTCAGGAAAAAAAAAGGGGGTTCCTTTTTGGCCTTTATATTCTTGATGTTAGTTCCTCCACAAACACAGTTGGTAAGATTCATTCATTCATATTTCTTGCCACAGATTGAAAGAAACAGCTCACATTTGTGAAGCACCCAAGAGATGTAATTTTTTGAAATAATTCATCACACTGATACCTATTACAGCTGCATTACACAGCTCAGTAAAGAGCTTGTCCTCAGCAGAATACAAATAAACTATGATACAACTGTGGATAAACTGCCTGCAGTGGTATTAAGAGCCTGCTGTTTCTTCAGCAGCTCCTGCAAGCAGATAGCGCTGTTTGAAGGAACAGAGTAACACTTGTGGCTGGACCCTTTAGGAAGAGGCAGCGTACCTCTGCGCCATATCGATTTTCAGATTCCCACGTGCTGGGGAATCTTTCCTGCTGGTGCAAGATGAGCTGAGGAGTTAGGAACGATACTGAAATGACAGCTAATGCTTCTTTACAGTCACTCTTATATACTGAAATCATAGAATCATTTAGGTTAGAACCGACATTTAAGATCATCAAGTTCAACCATAAATATAAATGTGTATAAATATCTGTGCATATATATATATATGTATATATATGCAGAGTATGGGATGTTTTAGCTCTAGCCATTTTATGTGCTTGCTTAGTTTTACAAACTAAGGACCACTAACTAACTAACTAGTTTACTAACTGAGACCACTATTATGGACAGAGACTCCCACTCACATACTATCACAGTTCATTACAAGTGGCTAAACCGAAAGCACTGGAAGGTAAATACCATGACAAAATCTCTGAAATGATTCATTTTTCCGATGAAAGGCATTTTCAGCTTACTAGCGGTACTACTTTAAATAAAAGTAGACACAATTTGAACCAAATAAAAAAAATCTTTCTTGATAACTCAAGGCTACATTGTCCATGGGATATTTGGAATTTCTTTTACATGCCTTCTGACTAGCATTACACCAACCAGACTTCTGACCGAAGTGAAGCACATATAACTTGCACCAATCTCGTCTCCCTGGCTCCTCAAATGTTGACTGGAAGTAAGCAAGAGTTTGCAAGACATGTTTTTCCCCAGGATGATCTCATTACACATATTGTTTGAAGCACACAGGATCTAAACATGAGAGCTCCTTGTGAAATTCATAACAAATAGCTCCCTGGAGAGATTTCATCGCCTTTTATGTTTAAGAAAAATGGAAAAATAAATCGCATATTTTCCTCAAAACTGCTCTTTCAAAGGCATGAAGCTGATTACATTCGCATTGCTTAAACTCCACAAATGATGATACAGTTTTCAGTGACAGAGTGCACAAGCTCTCATTAATGAAATATACTTCCGCACAACACTTCAAAGCCAGCATGGGTTTTCTTTTCATCTCTATTATGAAATATCTGTGATTTTACGTTTTAAATTCTATCTCCTTAATACTCAGTTATAGCTAACCTTCCTTTCCATACATTTTTTTTTCAATATTATTCACTGCACATTGACCAAAACTGAATAAAAAAGGTATGTTAATGGCAAACCTGTTCTCACAGAAATATAAATGAATTTCTGAAAAGATTCTGCTGCAATTTGATACTAGTCACTAGTTATTTCACTGTACAACTGCAAATAACTGAATATGGTCTGCCTTATTCTTATGTTTGTAAAATGAATATAGTATTAAATTTCTGTCAGATTTGGCTTAAATTGATACATTTCCTCCTCTGATCTTTTGAAATCCCAGTGTTAATAAATCCCAGTGTTAATAAAGCAACAAACAAGACACCATTTCATCCTCTACACAATGCTCTGCAACTTTCTCATAACACTAGAAATCACTGTATTTCAGCTCTGATAAACCCGATGTCCTTACGTACTTTTCCCACACATAGCAAAGAATGAATATCTTTCTGGTGAGTGATAGCACAGAAGCCACTGTTTTATGATTTTCTTGCAATGATATTTTCTAAGAACTGGGATACATGGCTAAGAAATATTTTCCCCAATACAACAAGGAGAGAGAGAGATCCAACCTTTGAGGGGAAAAAAGTTACAAGTAAACTAAGAAACAAACAAAAGAATAATCATAGAAGTAAGAGACCTAAGATGGGAAAAGGCAGAGAAGAGTAGGAACACAGAAAGAACACTTCTGGAAAAAAGGAATCAATAAAAGCCAAAGATAATATATGGGTAGCATAAAAGAAAGGCACATGAAAATACATAAAACTTGAAATCAATAGAAAAAATTATGAAAGAACTTAATTATTAAGGAGATATTTTATGTGACACTAGTATAAGAAAGGCAGTTAGTTAAAAAAGCCCAACTAACAAAAAACCCAACAGTATGAAATAAGAATCTTAACAGTCAAACTGAAAACCAGAAACAAACAATAGGAACTTATCTTGAAAGTAGAATAGTTTTGCATCAAACTATTGCGTGGCCAATATTTCATTTTTTTCTATAAGCTGGAGTGCAGGTCATACATAGGTAAGCCTAACCCTAACACAGAACAATACACAATACTCTAAAAAGTGCTGCTCAGGTGCAAGAGTCAATGTCCAGCAGACTTCCTATGCAGAACAGAAAGATTAGATGACTGTTGTACATCCCTTCCAACCAAGCTATGCTACTCTGTGCTGTTCTGTTCTAAAAAAAATGAGCTCTGCCTCTCAATATGTTCCTTTTTAAGTAGAAAAATTATAGTAACAAGTGTGCTTTTCTTTCCAGGGTTCACGAATTGGCCTCTTGTACATGAGAATCCTTCAAAGTTACTTGGGCCTTTTCCCCTAAGGATGTGTTTAAAAATGTACTGAAGCATTTTCACTTTGCTCCCCATCTTCCAGATGGCATTTAGGTAAATACAAAAAAAGTCAGTAAACCATAATATTCCAGTTTACTATCTGTTTAATCAGCTCTAGCTTCTCACTCTGACATACTGTCACCAAGTATCTATCTTCATGGAAGACGAAAAGCTTTGTTTTCCAAAAGCAAATTGAGACAACAATTTCCAATGAAAAGTGAATTGTTCACAATGCTTCCTGTGTCCTGTGGAAAATGTGCATGTTATCTTTGAAATGTGTATGAGCATGTGATTTACCCTACGTATTTTTAAACAGTCTACAATGTCAAGTAGGTCTCCTGACTAATCCTTTCACGAGTGATAGCAACAAAACATTTATCTCAGTCTTTCTCTTAGATTTGTTTGGCTTTTTCATACCTTTCACTTTGAAAAATCTTTCTGCTTTTTTACTGAAAAAACAAGCACACAGAAATACAAAGTATTTACTTAAATGCAGCATAAAGAGAAAAAGTCATGGGAAATGTACCTGTAGCACCTTCCACCTTGTGTTCAGGTCTTCCACACAGCTGAGGTTGTACTGGGAGAGTTGAATGTCAGGCAGAGTGAACCGTCGAGCGAGTTCATTGACCTGATGCACCTTTTCTTTAAGGGGTACAAGTTCTGCTCGATAAACCTGTGTGAATTAAATATAAATAAAGATAAGCACTTACTTCAAAAACTACTGGCTCCACTGCCAGTTGATCAGTACTGTAGAGGCATGCCACATCAAGCTGAAAGGAAGGAGTGTACTCGCCAGGTACAGTTATCAGTTTTTATACAACTTCATGTGGACGTTAGATCTCAAAGAGTTAGACCCAGCACTGCAGAAGGTGATATAAAGTTGGGATGTTCATAGCAGTTTTTGTCCAGTTAAGCCAAATCCCTAACCAGCACAGCCACTGATGTGCACTGCAGACCAGGCTTCTCTGCTGCCTCATCCTTTACGTGTCTGCAGCACATGTTCCTCGCGGTGGACAGGAGAGATGATGCTGTTCATCCCATAAAAAGAGGAAGACTGTTGTTCCCAAATACAACAAATGAAAAAAGAGAAGCGATGATAAAATGATTACAGACCTCACTTAAGCCATGATCTTATGCTGAGTATCTCGTGTGTTACAAATAAGAGGTTAGCAATGGGAAGTGTAAAAAGACACCAAACAAAAAAATCTTTTTGCTACGAATCCCAGGCTGGCCTATCTGACTCATGTTTCAGAAAAAATAAAACAAGATATCTTGTAGGATAACCTTTGAAACTATGTGTAAGAGCAGCGTAGCTAGTGACTTCAGCAATGTATGTAAAAACCAGAAGCTTCTAGTTACAAGTTTCCCGATTTTAAAAGCAACAACCTGATGATGATGCTTCCACGATGTAACTGAGTAAATTCAGATAAATTCAGGGCACTGTGACTCTGTCAAAAAGAGGAATGTCTTTGCAGATCCTCCAGTCTTCCGTATCTATCTTTTCTAAAGAGACATTTATGAATCTTTAATGTGATACAATATGTCAAAACATAACAATGAAGCATTTCTAAGGGACAATTTCTTTCATTTTCAGAAGGACTTTTATTGCATATGATGTCTGCACACAAAGGCAGGATAATTTACTTGCTATAATAGTCTTGCTCTCTAGCTCATTTCAGCACTTTTAAAACAGACCACATGTGGTCTGCATCTCAGCTTAGATCATCAAATAACCTGAAATTATTTCCTAATAATAACTTCGTCGACATGTGATGCAAAAAAGGTCCAAAAAAGCCCATCCAGTATATTAGAAAGCCTTAAGAGTAAATAGTATGAAGACTTTCATAGACATTAGAATGCCAAACACTGCACTAAAAGCAAATATAATTGATTTTTTTTCCTCAGAAGTCTTTCAAATCCAGACTTCCACTAATTATGTTAAATTACAACATAAGAGGTTAGAGTGACTTAAGTGGGACTCAAGTACAGTGAATCACTAATGATAAATCTACAAAATACACAATGATTTTGTAAAGGAAAGCACAGAGAACAATACAAGTGCCATGATGTGAGAGAAGAACCGTACATCAGGTTCGTGATGTAACAGTTGTCTTCTCCGTTTCACCAGTTTTCTACCCCTGGGACACACAGACACTACTGGAGACAATACTGACTTACAGTGTAGTGTAGAACAAGATCTGCAACACAAAGCAAAGGAAAAGAGTTCCTGTGTTTGATTTTATCCCAGAGAGTTATACATGTGCTTACTGTGATCACTTTATTTAGTAACTCTGTTCAGAGAACAAACAGCATGCTTTAAAAATAGACATTCGTACTTGTAAAAATCTCAAAAGCTGAATATATATATATACACACATACCATTGTGTTAATACTTCTCTGGCAAATAGCTATTTTACTGCTTTTTTCGATGATCTATTAGTTTCAGTGGCCTAAGGTCCTCAGCCGTGACTCTGTGGCTTATACTTGGGATGGTCAACCCAGTTCCTCCAGTGTTGCTTGGTTTCCAAGTTGAGAGAACACCTCTCAATCCCTTACTATGCCGATGTTGTAGATAAGTATGAATGTGTGTATATTTTATATATTATTATACAAAATACAGTATAAAAATATAAGAAAAATTAAAAATACATAGTTAATATATATATAAAACACTGACAGAATAAATGCAGAGGAATGGATACAAAGATCAGTGTCCACATTACAATGCACTTTAATGCAGTTTCTGTATTAAAACAAATTAATTTTCTATTAATTTGTATGGCAGTAAAATCAGGCTTTAATTGAAAACTCCACTGCTTAGGCAAAGCACACAGGCCTAAGCTAAGAAGCAACTTGTTTTTAAACATATACTTAAGCATCTGAGTGGTTTCAGACCAATTGTTTAGCTCTGTAATGTTGACTTGAAAGTACTGTCTCACTTTAAAATTGGCATAAATTATTAGGTTAATCATTATACCTAAATTAAGGTGAAATAGAAGATCCTTCATAATTAGTCAAAATGGTTTTTGACTCTAAATTATCTTACAGAGTAGAAAGGCTAAGGCACAGAAGCAAGTCATAAGAAAAGAAAACAAATCAAAGAAATACGTATGGAAGTCAAAAATAAAACTTATCTTCCGCCTGTCTTTATAACTTGTTTTTCTGCTGAAATGATACCAATTTTTCCTAATCTCCCAATGCACAAAATATAAGAGCTTTTTCACCATCTTTAAATTCAATATTCTGTATTCCATTACTACTAAGTCTGAATTTTTACTAGCATTTTTATTAGTCAAATCAAAACATAAGCAGCAAGAATAACAAAACCAGAATGCTAGTCAATACACAGCTATCTAACTAACACCAGTAAGCTAAAAACGGTAAACAGAAAAGAAAAATTTATTCATAGAAAGATTTGGCATACCACACTCTATGATTAAAAAGCTCCGTGGCTATAAGGCTGTCTTAAGCAACAGTTTATCACAGACAACAAGCCCACCTGGCAACATTCATGAGTCTAGAGCTAGGTTTTCATTTTAGAGTAAGTGAAGTGTTCAAATAAGTTTAATAAACTGTAATAATTTCTATAACTTCTACAATAGTTGTCATATGTAGAAGCAGAACTGCAGAATTTCTACAGGACTGTGATTTTCGTAAGTATGATTGAAATGTTTAACAGAAACATTTATATTTTCAATAATCAGTTTGTATAGCATAAGACTGCTTCATTTTTCTATTTTTTTTTCCTTCTGCATAAAAGATATTTTATATATATATATCACAGGTTTATAGCAGGAAAATTTAGGGAACTACATTTCTGGTAATTTAAAAACAAATATACATGGTGACTAGCATACTACTACCACAAGGAGATCTATTTGAACCAATCAAATTGCTTGGGACGTAAATTACTTCTCAGTGTGAACAGCGATAGGAGAAACAGCCTCAGATTATCTTCATTATAATCATCCTTACGCAAGAAAGAATTTCAATGGTATGTGATACTGCAGGTGGTAGATTGGATTTTAAATGACCCGTACAGTTCTGTAAGAAAATACTTTAAAATGCTTTGGAAAATTAGCAAGAGCTCTAGAAGACACTTATCAGAGACACCCTCACCAGCCAAATATTAAATGTGGAACATACAGTGGCCATAATCAGTCAGATGAAATGCTCATCTTGCCAACCTCGTGTTTGATAGTACCCAACACAATTGCTTAGGAGAGAAGGTAAGGAAAAGCAGCAGCCACTGCTCCCTGCTGCTCTCTTCCAGCTCAGCAGTTTGAGCCTCAGAGATTTTAAAGCCGGGAGCTGTGTACCTATGTCAATCAAATCTTGATGGACTTGTCTTCCATGAAACTATCTACTTTATTTTTGAATTAACAAAGGCTTTTACCATCCAAAGTACCGTATGGCAAGCTCAATATTTAGATTGAAGAACCACCTCTTTTTTGCTTTTGTTAAACCTATCATTTGAGACCCACTTGAGGCTATCCTTAATTCTTAGCTCATGAGAGACAGTGATCAGTCATTCTTAATGGACTTTCTTAGTGCCACCACATATTCTATGAACCCTCCATCATATTTTTTCCTTCTTGCATGTTTAAGATACAAAGACTGAGATATAACAAACTAGATGTAGATATCTATAATGTATTTACACCTGAGCAGGTCGCCATATGGTACCTTTATATTCAATAGCTAATCAAACCCAGGAATTGAACATAATGTAAGGTTTTACTACAGGACAGCATGAATCGGATTCTTAATTGCAACAACTGAAATGAGGAGATTTTCATTGACTATGTTGGGAGCCCAGGCAAGTAGGTCATAGGCAGAGAGGTACCCGGCAGATGTGAAACTACACAAGACAAACCCCACTCCTACTCCATTTATTCTGTATTGTATCCCTTTTACCTAATCTTTTTTAGATTGGGGATCCAAAACAGTGCCTACAACATAAAAGATATGGGTACAAAAGTATGGCATCACACTATTTTCTGCTTTTTTTCAGTAATTCCTAGTAGCACTTCATTTGGCTTTCTGTACAGTGCTGAGTATTGATGTGGTATTTTCAGAGGACTGTCTCTTATGATTCCAAGATCTCTTTCATGAGTGCTAAAGGAACGTTTAAAAGGGCTAAAAGAGAGCTCATTACTGTGCATGTGAAGTTGGGATAGCTTTTTCCACATGCTTTGCTTGAGATTTATCAGCACTTGATTTCATCTGCAATCAGTTTCCTGCCAGTCAGTACTGTGAGGTTTTTCTATAGATGCTTGCAATCTGTCCTCTTCTTAAGTACTTTGAATAAGTTTGCATCATCAACAAGATGTGCCACTGCATTATTAATTTGCCTCTCCAGCTCATTTATGTGTGTGCTGGACAGACTCGACCTTCTGGAGCACCAAAAAAGTCATCTCCCTCATTGGGTATACTGACTTCTGCCTTTTGTTTTCCATCTTTTACAGGAAACCACCAGCTGATTGGTGATTTATCCATATGAAGACCTCCTCTGTTATCCCACAGGAACTTAGTTTCTTTGCTGGTAGATCTTAAAATCCTTATGGAACACCAGATGGCCTATACCTCCTATTGATATGATCATGTCTCCTTCAAAGCATACTAGGAGATGTAAGGCACATCTACTTTTACAAAAGCTGCATTGTTGTCTC